GACCCCCCCCCCCCCCCCCCGCGGGTTCAACTCCCCCCTGGGACGCTTCCGGTACGTGCTATAGTGCTATGTTTAGGTGGCAGGTGAAGTAGGCCACTGTTTGAGTTTGGAAGGGGGGGGCATGAAACATGAAATTTACGCGAGGGTTCAAGGCTTCAATGATGAGCATCACGGGAAGTCAGAAACCAGGCGTATCAGATACACGTGCCTTTGAGCTTCCTTCGGCATCTCAGTGCATATGGCTGACACTTCACTCGACAAAGATGCTCAAACAAACATACATAAGCCAGGTGTATCTGATACGCCTGGTTTGTGACTTCCCGTGATGCTCATGATGCTGCGTTGCTTTTCTTCAGTCCCTCATTACATATACATGACGATGCAACAGCAGATTCAACAAGCTCACATGTTCATGACATCGACATCGATAGAAGAAACCAAGCAAATCATGCAAGCAGCTTTGTTTTGCCTCTGGGACACCTCTTGGGCACCTCTTATGGCATCCACACTGGTTCAACTCCTCCGTGGAGGTTTTGGGATACGGTGCAACAGATTCAACAAGCTCACAGGTTCGTGAACACATCGGATGCATCGAACAGTGTGGCAAAGTCCAGCCACGCTTCCTTAATTATCGGGGACTTCAATTCTAAGGTTGGCTGTGTCATTGCTGTTTGTGTGTCTTACATGTTCACAACGTTTTACCTCATGAGCATTTGCCTCACTCCGCTTGATGTCCCACCAGTCCGGATGCACCCCTGCTAGCTTTCGTCACCTACCCTCGGCCTCAAGTGGATGAACACGGTCTCCGCTTTGAAGCGATTCATCCCGTCTGTCCGGATCTGCACGTGTGTCGCTTGGCATCCCACGTGGCCGCCCACGGCGTTAAAAGCAGTACGCCCATGTGAACTCGGTTTTTCAAGGGTCCATGTGAATCTTGCCGTAGTGACCGGTGACCCCTTGAAAGGTGGCAAGAAAAAGCTAGCAGCTAACTGCCCCTTTCTATAGTTGGCTCTCCTTTTGTTGGGGAGTCGTTTCCCCGCAAACAGAGAATGGACCGGTGAGAAGATCTTCTGATCCCATTATAAGTAGTCAAGCTCCAATAAATACCTCCGTTGCAGCGTTTGCCAAGACATGATTGTCCAGAGTCCAGTGTTTCTTTGTGTTCACGTGAAAAAAACAGGCCCAAAAAGCAGCCAACGCATACCCCTTTCAAGTCCCCAACACTGTTCAACACCCAGCACTACAACAAAAAACCATCCATCTCAAAGGTTTTAGTTTTCTTGACTACAGCAAAATACAATTCAACATACCATTCATATCATATATCCATCTGTTTTGGTCGCTGGCCGTTCAACACGTTCTTTTTTTTTGCCTGAGAGGCGGATGACAAGTCCAAGCTCGAGGGATCTTCGCTGATGTTGGCCTTCCAAGGTGCGAAGACATCGGCATCTGTTGTTTTTTCTTTTTTTTTCCAAGCAAGTGAAGAAGAATGGGTCCGACCTTCGGCGGCGGCATGGATCGTTCTGAACAGGTATTTTTCACGTATGGACCAGTCCGGTGGTCTACAACGGTGAGATGAATCGTTTTCGATCAGTCGCAGTCGCTGCTGCAGTCGCAGCACCTTTTTCGACCATTTGAGCTTTTGTTGCTGAATTGATGTTCGACCACAGACGTCTTTTCGCGGACGTCTGTTCGTCCGGTATCCTGTCATCCTGTCCTTGTAATTCTGCGCCACACAGCTCCCTACAACTATAGAAAAGTAGCATGCTAGGCAGCGAAAAGGAGATCTGAAGTTGCCGTGAGTTGTTCGAGCAATCCGTGGTGGCAAACGAGCGGTAGCTCCAATCCTCAAATGAAACTCCGTGTTGGCAGTCTTCAGAAATTTGGGAATGGATCCAAACAAAGCCTGAACAGCTCCTTCAAGTGCTTGAAGTCTTCACGTGTCTAAACACCCTAAAGATTCTTTTGGGCTTTTTCGGTCCTCCTCCCCAAAAACAAACCACCTATAGGACCGTTAGTAGGTTGGACCTTCCTTGGCGTTTTCTCATCGCTGTCTCGCTCCGCCGTCAGAATCGGACATTTGGAGCTCCTTCAACGGCGCCGAGCTCGCGGAGCTCAGGCGCGACAGCGCTCTGCTTCGCGGCGTGGACGGAGCGGAAGCGGTGGTGGAGCGTCCGTGTCGGTGGCGAGGGACGGAGAGGCACCTTTTCTTTTTTTTCGGATTTTCTTGGGGTCCTGCTTATATCAGCACCGGAAAAGCATCCGTCATTTAGCATGGCATCTTATGGCCTTCATCTTCAGTACTCCATTTCTTTTGGCTGCCGTGAAT